ACCCATCTCTCTCCACAGCTGCAGCTGCCATTGCCACAAATTCCCAAAGCAATAATAAATACAAAGTCCTGGACACCAGCTACTTGTGAACATTCTCCAAAAAGCCATGAATAACACACATGCTAAATTAAACAGATGACTACCCACTGTGCAATAGTTAATACATCACATCTGTGTGCATCACAATGAAAAATCACTTAATGGTGAAAAGCAGAAAACAAAGTGACATAAAAAAAAAAGGGACCCTTTTAAAGAGAAATGTTTAAAAGCAAACAAGCTAGCCACTGCACAAGGTGACTACTAAGCAGACAAGAAGTTTACTTCTTCTGGGGTTACTGTTGCACTATTAGTATCAACTTCAAAATAACTTCTCAGTACTCTAATTGTTTCCACTGGTATTACTAAGAAGGCAAACTCAGCAGTTAAACAACACTGGTCCCAGGGTGGGTGGCAAAGTTTTCCTACCACTGCAGAGTGTGCCATGACCCTGCTGTGGTGTTGCCATCTGCCAGCCAGAGTCCACTGGGCTGATCCCACATGTGAATGGCAGCCTCTGACCTGCATGCTGTATGCACCCAGACTGCTGGTGTTCTCTGCTGCTTACTGTACAGAAACACCAACAGACAGGGAAGAAAGCAACAGACCTTCCCAAAACAATAGGCTGATGGCTGAAGAGTCCCTTCTCACCACTCCAGGTTGGCCTGAGCATCTCTCTCCAGCTGGCAGCACAGCTTTCCAAACAGCAGCCAGCAGGGCACAGCATACACTGCTGCAGTCTCACCTGCTCACCAGGGAAAAACTGGGGGTTTGGTAGACATCAAATGCTCAGTGCACATGCCACAGACCCTTCCCTTTCCTCCCAGATGCACAGTGAAATAAACCAGACAAGACTACACCACACATGAAGCATTGCCTGACACCTCACCTGTCTCAGAGCAGACCCTACAGAGCTCCTGCAAGGACACGTCTATGTCTGACTGCCCCACAACCCACTCATCCCCACACCCACACAACAGGCCAGGCTCACTCTGCATCAAGCACCAGAAGCCCATGGCTTTGCTGGGATGCAAGGGGCTCTACACAGGACAGCTTCTCTTTTCAGGGGATTCAGCAGTTGAAGGAAGCCACATAAAGCTAGAGATAAACACCAGACCCAAATAAATGGCCAAGCCCTGATGACCAGCCTATTTAACTGTCCACTGCTGCTAGACACTTTCTTAACACATGCCCACAGGGCAGACATCTCACCTCACACACACAACACTCCAATCTCTATTTTTTGTTCAACCCCATCTAACAACTGCCAAACCTAACAAAAAACCACAAACAAGAAACATAATCTCAAAAAAGTCCTAAGAACTTGATGTCTGTCAAATACCTCATCCACAGCTGCACAGCATAAGAACCTGCACACCTTTCAGGGAAGAGCTGATCACCAGTTTTTAGTGTTTATGCCAGACCTCAGTACAACTGACACAGAGCCCAGGGTGCCTCCTAACACACCCCACTGCACCCCATCACCAAACCATTCCTCTGAATGGAACCTAGGAGAAGCAGAAGTGACCAGAAACACTCCTCCAAGCCTTCCTTAGGTAACATCTCCCTTCAAGTTACAGACTCATTTGCAATTTTCTGTTCCACTTTTTGCCTAGCTTATATTTTGCACAGTCATAAAAGCCAGAGAGAAACACAACATTATTTAGTTTCTCTTTTTAGCCTCATGACGTCTCTCCACCAGGATGAACCTTCTAGAACATGCCAGGCTGCCCACCTCCCACAGCATCCCATGCAGTACTTTCTCCAAGAGAAGAACAGTCCTCCAGAATTGCATTAGTTTCCTCTTACCCTCTGACCCTGCAGCAAACATCATGCCCCCAGGATGTGAAACCATCCTTTTCATTTTTTTCGTACTACCCAAGTGACTGCAGAAACACCTCCATCCACCCACAGATCCACAAGAGCCATACCAATAGACTGGGACTCTCAGAAGGTGACTCTGAACTCCTCTGTGCTGTTCCTACCAGGCAGACAAACCTTAAAGCCACATCTTCTATTACAAAAGCAACCATTAGGATTAGACACTGTCTTTTGATCACTGATCATTCCTTGTAAGGAAAGCGAAAGACCACGTCTCTGGCCAGGCAGATGGATGACTGAGCTCCTTGCAGTTTGCACACATCACTCCAGCAGGTTTTTGAGTCACGGACTGGCTGCTTTAATTTAAAATCCTGCTAAAAGGCAAGTATCTAACACCCTACCCAGAGCTGGGTGCATTAGCAATGCCCGTCTGCACTCAGATATGCATTTCCTCTTCAAAAGCCACCTAACCCCTCCTAGGGGCTTTCACTGGCTTCTTCTGCATCCTGAAGTAACAAGACACTCCAAAGCCGGGGTCTGTTCCAGCTCTGGAGTCCCTTTGTCTTCTGCGCCGCCAACACCCCCGAGGTACCTTCCTGCATCCGCGCACTGAATCTTGTTCAGTCTAGCTGGGTTTTGCTCCCTTAATTTTCACTGGTCACCTGCAGAGAACTCGGGTTTAGGTTTCTGTGGCTCCTGTTGGATTGCTGTTGTAGGCCCTTGGTGCAGGTGTTGCTCTGACAGCACCAACACTGACAGCAAAACCTGGGTGGGTCTCTCTGGTCATGGTGGTTCCTGTGACACGCAGATGCTACAGAGAAGGACTTTATATTAATTCTATATTAAGTTAAACACTCTGGGCTTGCATGTACATTTTGTGTAGCAAAGCTTTCCACATCTTGAGCTGTAGGAGCAGCAGATAACAGCAGTGTGTGCTGTCATGATTCCAGGACACAGGCTGGCTGGTGATGGAGAACATCTCTTCTTCCTCTTCCCCCTTCCACACCAGTTCCCCCACCGTGCTGCCTGAGAACACCACTGCTGATGAAGACTCCTCTGGCCTCCAGAAGAGCATGCACTGCCTTTCCATGGTGGTGTACAGCATCGCCTGTGTGCTGGGGGTGACAGGGAACGGCCTCGTCATCTGGATCGCAGGCTTCAAGATGAAGAAGACAGTGAACTCCATCTGGTTCCTCAACCTGGCCATTGCTGACTTCATCTTCACCTTTTTCCTGCCCCTCAGCATCGCCTACACCGCCCTGGGCTTCCACTGGCCCTTTGGGAAGCTCCTCTGCAAGCTGAACAGCACCATCGCCTTCCTCAACATGTTTGCCAGTGTCTTCCTCCTGATGGTCATCAGCGTGGACCGCTGCGTTTCCGTGGCCTTTCCCGTCTGGTCTCACAACCACAGGAGCCCAGAGCTGGCAGCCAGGGTCGCACTGGGGACATGGGTCCTGGCTCTCCTCCTCAGTTCCCCGTACCTGGTCTTTCGGGACACTGTGGTCAGCTCCAGGAACACCACCAGCTGCTACAACAATTTTGCACTCTCCGATGACTACACGTCCGAGGCGACGCAGCCAGCTCCGGCCCCCGGCGGGCCCGGCGAGCAGCCCTGTGGGCCCTGCCCTTAGGGAACAAGGTTTGTGTGTTAAAGAGGAATGTTCTGGCGGTGCTGGGTCGCTGCTGCTTCGTGGCACTGAGGGACAGGTCTGTGTGTGTCCCCGCTGGGGCTGCCGCAGGTGAAAAGCAGCAGCCTGGACAAAACAGTTAGTGCTGTGGAGGATAATTTTCCTCCTTAAACCCCCCCCCCATGAAATGAGACACAGCCCTTGTGCAACCCAGAGTGTCAATGTTGTGCCTTTCCGTTCTGAATCAACACTGGAAAAGCCAAAGTGCCTAAAACACCCATTAGGAGTTGGTGCTTTATCCCAAAGACCTCCCCACCCTGCCGCATGGAGATGGGCCTGCTCCCTGGGCACTCACTACCAGCTGGACCACTACCAGGTCCTGAATTGTGGAATTTCTCCACCTCCCAGCCAGCAAAGTCTCAACCTCACTGGTGTTTGGCTGCCTGACTAGCAGGGCCCTTTTAAAGCATAGGGGAAGGATGGGAAGAATGCATGAAAAATGTCAAGTGTGATGTTGCTTTGTTGAAAGTGAATCTGGTAGTGTTGAAAAGTTCCCTGACTTTCAGAGGGGTGTGTGCAAATAATGAGATAGGTAAGGGCTGTGCTGGATAGGTGATAATTTCTTGGAGGGGGAAGCAGGGTGGAGGAATGTTCACAAGGAATTGGTTTTAGAGAATTACTTAATTCTGTTAATCTTTCACACAGTGTACAAGGTTGGGACAGACTGTGAGTCCAGGGAAGGGTCAGGTACACAGTGATGGGGGGATTTCGTTAAGAAGAAACAAACCAGTGTAGAGTACAACCTCATGGCCTGAAGGAACTTCCAAGCAGAAAGTTCCTTGGCTGGAAATAGCAGGAGGAAGGAAGTCCATGTGCTTTTATGGGTCACAGTGTGGCTGGGGGCCATCAATGCAATGTGGCCATTAAATGCTGAATCACTGAATCATTTGGGTTGGAAAAGACCTTTTAAGATCTTCCAGTCCACCCATTCCCCCAGCCCTGCCAAGGCCACCCCTAACCCATGTCTCTCAGCACCACATCTACTTGGCTTTGAAATCCCTCCAGGGATGGGGACCCCACCCCTGCCCTGGGCAGCCTGGGCCAGGGCCTGACAGCCCTTTTGGGGAAGAAATTGTTCCCAAGATCCAAGCTAAACCTCCCCAGCACAACTTGAGGCCATTTCCTCTTCTCCCATCCCTTGTTCCTGGGGAGCAGAGCCCGACCCCCCTGGCTCCAACCTCCTCCCAGGCAGCTGCAGAGCCAGCAGGTCTCCCCTCAGCCTCCTTTGCTCCA